GCCACTGCACTCCAGTCTGGGTGACTGAGTGAGACTCCAACAAAAAAAAAAAAAAAGAGGTCCAGAACCCATACATTACTTTTAATATTGAAAACTGTTGGCATCAGATAGGGGAATTCTTACTACTGAGGAGCTCATTCAACTAAATGTTCGTTGTGTGGAGCCATAAATACTCTATATAAACAATTTTCAAACTTTTTGGTCTCTAGACCCCTTAAAAATAATTGAAGACTCCCTTTTGTTTATGTAGGCTATCTATATTAATATTTATGGTATTAGAAATTAAAAGCAAAAATGTTTTTAAATATACCGGCATATATTCAGAGTGTTGAATGTCCTCACATTTCATGTAGCCTCTGGTTAAACTCTGGTGTTTCTTCATGGAATGAAAGGAGAAAGAATAAATAATGTCTTACTATTTTGAAAATAGTTTTTACTTCACTAACTCCCTGAAGGGCTCTCAAGCTCCCACAGGGACCACACTTTTAAGAACAACTTCTCTACGCAAATGTTTCAAAGAAATTATAGTTGAGGCAAGTGATTGCTGTTACAAGTAATTGTAACATGAGCATAAGTGTCTCCTTAAAAGTGCAATAACAAGCATAGTCTTGCATTTCCATGGGCAATATATATATAATTTCTGGTAGAAGGACCACAAGCAGACATTCATTTTATGTTGTTTTCATTGCTTGTTTATATGGCTTCAGACAGTAGATAAGATTAATTCCTAGAGAATCAAGGGCTAAGAAGACAAGACTCTACCAGTTCATTGGATTTGAACATGGACAAACCACAGACAGTTTCTGTTCTCATGCCCTTGTCAGTGAACTCTTGCTCACTTTCTCTATCAGTAACCAGCGACATTACAGCCTCCATCTTCCATCACCTCCTTTCTCTTTCAGAACTGATACGACTTTTCAGTGGATAAGTAACTGCACATAAACATACCCATTACTGAGTTTATAATTGTTACACAAATGGGTAGATGGTGCTTACAGTGCCTTATGTAGAAATCTTTGGTAGACAGTTATGTGGATATTTATGGGAAATTGGCTTGAAGTCCTTTGAAAGACTGGGAACACATATTTCTGATTTAAAATAATGGAACATAGGATCCCACTATCTGAGAATTCTAACTATCCATCACTCTTCAAGAAAAGGATGAGATTTCAGTAACTAGGGATACCTCCCTCTGATTTCTACCCTACAGATGATATATAAATGTGGCCAGAGTTGTTTGAGGGAGAGGGGATATTATTAAGTACTGAGCTACTTTTTTTTTTTTTTTTGGAGACAGGGTCTCGCTGTCACCCAGGCTAGGGTACAGTGGCACGATTATATCTCACTGCAGCCTCAACCTCTTGGGCCAAAGTGATCCTCCTACCTCAGCCTTCAGAGTATCTAGGACTATAGGCACATGCCATCACACCTAGTTTTAGTATTTTTTGTAGAGACATGGTCTCTATGTTGCCCAGGCTGGTCTTGAACTCTTGGACCACAAGTGATCCTTCTACTCAGCTTTCAAAAGTGGTGGAGATTACAGGCGTGAGACACTGCCTCTGGTCTGTGAGCTACTTCAGTTTTTGCTTTGTATACTTGTGAGGGTGTCTTTCCCTAAAATGATTTTTAAGGGCATTTGACAATTGAAAAGGAATCACCTGTGATCTTTATAAGTCCCAGTTTTGATATTACCTTTTAAAGCATATGGTTTTCTTCATTATGTCTTGGATTCTGAAACTAGCAGAGAGCCACATAGTCATGTTTTGCTATAAGTCTAGTATTGACAGTTAAGTTTATATATTGGTCAGGTGGGCAACTTCCACTCACCAGCCTCCAGGGCGTATGCCAAATATATGACTCAGAATATTTAAAACACATAATGCAGATCTTTGGGCTCTCTTACTAATAATCAAAACTATAATATTAAGTATGTCAAAGGTTTCTTGCAGTGATAGGAAGAACATTCTAAACCATTTACATCTTTCTCACGCCCCTAGATTTTTGTGTTTCTCTCCCCTCCACTTTTCCCAGACTAGAAGTCATCACAAAGCACTATTACTAATGGGACCATGTGTCAGTTCTTTCATGTATATTGGGACAGAAGAAAGGTTGGTATTTTGGGTCCATATTTTTAACCTCTCCTTATACCCTTCAGACACATACAAATTTGAAAGTTGCTTTGCCTTCTGATGAAGAGGTTTTTCCTTTGCTTTGGAAGGTAATTTGATGTCTCTTTTCTCTTTTTAGGTATATGGGCTCCCTGAAAGTTGTTTCCAGGCTCTGATCATTCAAAGATTATGAAGGCACAATCCCTGCCTTTGATTTGCTAACAGTCAAGTAGAGCAGACTGGACTTAATGGTTACAGTATAGCCACTTAGGTATTCTAAAAGAGGTGAGTGTGTGGCACTTCTCCTGGGAGAGGAGGGAATCAGGCGGTGCTTACAAAAGGACTTTTGAGCTATGCAGATGTACAAGGAGGGAAATGTCCATCCTGGGTGCCTAGGAATTGGGATGGTCTATAAACCGTAAATGGTACAAAAGATAGTGTCAGGTATGTTACACCTTTCTCCAGTGTACTATCCTTACTTTTGGATAGTGCTTGTTTTTTCCTTCTCTCTCTTTGTTCCTCTCCCCTTTAATTAAATGGATATTTGGAAGAAGTAGGAAGGTAGGAATCTTTATGGGTGGCCACATAATAGATGGGTTTACCAAAAAGTAACATTTATACTCAGTAAATCCATCTCTAAAAACTATGTTCCTGCTTTGTTAAGATGTACAGCTGGGAAACCTCAGTTTTGTTAGTTGGGTGTTTTCCCAGTGAATGGATTATATTCCTGTTTCTGATCCAGTCAATTTGAATTTAAGGGCATCTCTTAAACTCCTTTCAAGCAATTGACCCACATTTAGACTTTAAAGAATGAGAATGGGGGAGGTTAGATTAGAATCCAATTTCATACTACAAAAATATTTTATTGTCTTTGTCTATTTGACTGCCTGTTGTTTTGAATAAACTGCGAGCCACTTTGTACAGTTAAAATAAATGGCAGTTTAAATCCACCAAGATTTGAGTGAGGTGAAAATAAAGCAGAAAAACCTGGTTTTGTCAAAGTCAGGGAAATGAAGAAAAAGTAATCAATAAGTGAGTTGGGCTTAATTTTTTTCTAGGACTGGTGATGGCAGAAAATGAGCAGTGAAGTAGTTGGAAATGATATACGTGAAAAGAACCAGCACCTATTCAGTAGCAACTCTAAAATAATTACTAACTTAGGGGCAGTCGTTTTGCCCAGATCATAGTCACATTCCTTTCAGGAGACTTTCTACAGTTAGTTTTTGACAATTAAGGGTTTGCAAACTTGCCACCGTGCACTTACGTTGGCAGCACTGTACAAACAACTCGGTAAGGTTTCATAACCTTGTATGTCAGTGTCTCACAGCTGTGTTCATATCAACGTGTGGCAATGTCTTGCTGAGTGGTGTTCATTTTTGTTGCATGTTTTTATGTGTCATTGAGAGAATGTCGGAGCTTGAGTTAGAGCAACGAACAAAAATTAAATTTCTTGTTAAACTTGGCAAGAGTGGAAGTGAAATCAGGGACATGTTAGCCCAAGTTTATGGGGATAATGCTATGAAGAAAACAGCAGTGTACAAATGGATTAAACGTTTTTCTGAGGGGAGAGAAAGCGTCACTGATGAAGAGAGGTCAGGACGACCAGTAACAAGCAGAACTGTTGAAAACATTGCAAAAATTCGTCGAATTGTGCGTCAAAATCGTCAACTGACTGTGAGAAGCATAGCAGACCAAATAAACATTGATAGAGAAACAGTTAGGAAAATCTTAACTGAAAATCTTGGCATGAGAAAGGTGTGTGCAAAAATGGTCCCAAAGGAGCTCACTGATAAACAAAAGCAAAGGAGAGTTGAAGTTTGCCAAGACCTTTTGGAGAGGCAAGACGATGTTTTGGGCCGTGTTATCACTGGTGATGAAACATGGGTGTACCAAGATGACCCTGAAACAAAGCGTCAAAGTGCACAATGGAAGTCAGCCAATTCTCCACAACCAAAAAAGTTCCGTCAGTCCAAATCAAGAGTCAAAACGAAGTTGCTAACCTTTTTTGATATCAGAGGGATTGTTCATTATGAATTTGTACCAACTGGACAAATAGTTAACCAAGTATACTATTTGGAAGTGCTGAAAAGGCTGCATGAAAAAGTTAGACAAGAACGACCTGAACTTTTCGCCAGCAACTCATGGCTCTTGCATCATGACAATGCACCAGCTCACACAGCACTATCTGTGAGGGAGTTTTTAGCCAGCAAGCAAATAACTGTTTTGGAACACCCTCCCTACTCCCCTGATCTGGCCCCCAGTGACTTTTTTCTTTACCCAAGGATAAAGGAGATATTGAAAGGAAGACATTTTGATGACATTCAGGATATCAAAGGTAATATGACGATGGCTCTGATGGCCATTCCAGAAGAAGAATTTCAAAACTGCTTTGATGGGTGGTCTAGGCGCTGGCGTCAGTGCGTAGCTTCCCAAGGGGAGTACTTTGAAGGTGACCATAGTGATATTCAGCAGTGAGGTACGTAGCACTTTTTCTAGGATGAGTTTGTGAACTTAATTGCCAGATCTCATAATGACAGAAATGATGCTGACCGCCTGGGGTCTTCTTTCCAAATAATGAACTCTTATCTTACACTTAAATTAATTAACCATTGGTTATAGTGAAGCAAGCAGATGTAAAGAATTCAAATCTTTAAAAATTTGAAGTTATGCATTATCTTTAAGATTCTGAGATGTTAAAGGACAGTGTTTTAAAAGCTGGACTTGTAGTCTTGTGTTCATGACTACGAAAAAAAAAGTAAAAAATAAATAAGTAAAAGCTGGACTTGGTTATGCTCTTCTGGAGACTAAGAAAATAGAGTCCTTGAAGTCAAGCTGACTCTGCTTTTAGCCTCCTAAATGAAAAGGTAGATAGAACAGGTCTTGTTTGAAAAATAAATTCAAGACCTACTTATCTACCAACAGCAATTATGAACTTGCCGTTGCCTTTCAATGGAAAATGGGAATAGTAAATTTATGGTTGAGAAACGTAGAGAAAGACATAGTGAGCACACGAGAATCTTCATTAATTGATAGGAAGGTGACTAGAAACTGGGGAAGTTGACTTAGTTGAGGAGAGGACTATTCCTGTAGTACAGTCTTCATAGAGTCCAGAACGTTTTCTGGCGGTTGAACCTCCCTGCATAGAAACCAGTATAATCTCATTTACAGAATGACACATCACAGTGAATTGTGCTTTGGACAGCTTCCGGGTGTGAGTTGTGTAAGATTGTGATTTTAACAAATTTTGCAGAAGTACCAAGAAAAAGACTCTACTGCCCATGCATTTGCTCTGCTCTATACTTTTGACCAAGTACCTGCTTCAGAAATACTTTATTGGATATGTACAACTGATTGTGTGTCACTTGAACTGGCAGGAAGTAAATTATTAAACATAGTTTTCTAAATAAAAGGCAATTTGATTTTATCAGAAACTAATGTCATTTTATATCCCAAGTCTCCAACCAACTCTCTAATTCCATCTCATCTGCATTTCTAAACCCATGTTAGTTTACACCAAGATTCTCTGGTGGTTTACATATTCTCTTTCCCCTTTGTTAACGTGAGGAAGCCAAAACTTACTATAAAATTATATAAGTAAAGCTAAGTAAGGACAGATTTTGATATCTTTTTTTAAATATCCAGTATTGGGGATTGTGGCTACAATGGTCTAATTTTTTTTTTAATCTTTTTTTTTTTAACAGATTTATCAGCAGGTTGCAGGTGAACATGGCCTTGAGGTTAAATCCTGCCCCTTGTTGAAATTTAGTTTCAGCAGATTGTTGATGGTATTTTAAGGGATTGGAATATTTTGCAAAACAACAGAAGTTTTGTTTGGTTCTGTTCTAGACTTATGTTTTCTTCCAAATAAATGAGAAAAATATTTCAACAAAGGTTCTTTATGATGAATAATTCTGATGCTTGAAGTTGGTCATTTGCCTTGTTTAAGTGGATTTTAAATGTCATAGACAATTCTAGTCAGATTTTTCTTGGTCAAATAAAAATTTTATTACAACCTTATAGGTGTTGAGTTTTCACCCCATTTATCTGTGTTCCTGTTAACATTTTAAGTATTCTGTAAAGCCTTTCTAGAACCCTGAATTCAAACTTGCCTTCTCTGTAATATCCTGTTCCCTATGCAGTAGTTTCTATTTCAGTAGCTGAGCACCTTATTGTATATACACACATGTATATTTAATTGTTTATAAAGAACTATTTCTGTGCTTACACTCAGTATTCGTTCCTTATAAGGTAGGTGAGTCAGCTCTGCAGGGCGGGTGTGTGTGTAACAAGCTATTAAATTGGCAGGGTGAATTGTTCATTCAAGAATCTGAGCTGCTGTTTATACCAGTAGGCAAAGTTCATTAGGAGATGAGAGGTGTTCAGTGTGTCAGACTTTGTATGTGCTAGAAAATATAAAAGCTTTAAAGTGAAATATTTTTTCAATTAACATAAAACCTTAAGTGATGACCTTAGAGCATACATATGTCTAGAAAGGCATCCATGGAACATGATACTGAATCATCTCTGGTAATTGCTTCACAAATGGAGTTACTCTGCAGCTTGACTTACAAGCTTCAAAAATGCTGTGTGTGCAGAGCTTCAGTGGCAACTGGAAACTTGAACTCAAGGACCAGGAATGTAGTTGATGGAGCTGGGCATTGAGGTCACAGAATGGCTTGAGGCAGTGAGGCAGGATGCTCAAAAGCCGCTGGCTAGAGATCATCTTCCTACCAGTGGTCAGCTTTGCCCTTCGGTGGGCTGTTGATTTCCTTTGAAAAATTTTTGTGCAGTTGCTGTGTGCCATATATCATTAAGTGCCCTCATGTTTGTCATTAGAGCTCCCAATCCTGTGAGACAAGGATTATTTTTTCCTTTTTTTTTTTTGAGTTGGAGTCTCACTTCGTCACTCAGGCCGTGACACACTCACAGCCACCACAGCATCGACCTGCTGGGCTCCTGTGATCCTTCCACCTCAGCCTTCCAAGTAACTGGAACTACAGGCGTGTGCTACCATGCCTGGCTAATTTTTGATTTATTGTAGAGACGAGGTCTCACCAAGTTGCCCGGGCTGGTCTTGAACCCGTCAGTCCAGTCAATCCACTCACCTCTGCCTCCCAAAGTGCTGTGATTATAGGCTGAGTCACTGAGCCCAGCCTTTTCCTTTGTTTAAAGAAGCCCTGGGGCCATTGTTTTGCTAAAGTATGGTCTGGACATGTGCTCTTTTGAGCTTTGGCCTTCTCCCCTACCTTGGGGAGATGCAACTTATCTTTCTCTAATTTACTTTCTAAATAAACTGCATTTTTAAATCTAAATAAAGATGCTCTGGAAGGCAAGGTGACTTTTCCAGGATCATAAGGCAGAGTTGCTGTAAAGTAGCAATTGAACCTAGGGTCTTCTGATTTCAAATCTGGTTATCTTTACATTGCAGGACAGTTCCTAGAATCATTTGCAGCTGTTTTCTATTTTTATCTCCATCTATCCCTCAGCCCCCCTCTTCAACGCACACAGTGAAAGTACCACATTTACATGTAGGCACTTGTGTGTAGTATGTGTAGTAGTAAGTAATGCTCTGTTTTCCCCAATCTTACCATCAAGCCACACATGCCCTTGCATTCCTTCATATTGCCTCCCTTCTAGGCTTTTTCCATCTCTTGACCAGAGGTCCTTTGCTATAGTTTTGAAAGAGCCCTGCTGTGCTTCACATGAAGCGCAATGAGGAGGCAAAGAGCAGAGGCTAGAGGAAGATAATCATTTATTCAGCAAATATTTGGTGTCAACTGTTACGTGTTAGCTCTTGGGGATCAAGCGATGAACAAAACAGACACTGCCCCTGCCTTCAAGGAATTAGGTATTACAGGGGTAATTTCAAAATTAAAGAATGTTATGGGTACGAGGGTATTACAGAGGTGCAGGGGTGTTACAGAGTACACAGTAGGAGGAACCTCACCATAGTGCTGCTCACTATTGGGAAAACAGTAGGGTAGACAGCGCGGAGGAGAGCACATGACTTCCTTGGTTCTGTGGACAGCCTCTTGCCTTCTCAAGTCTGTTCTTGGCTGACTCATGAAATGTCATGAATGTCCCAGGACTGATGGAGCCATGAAGTCTTCCCCTTCTCCAAACTCTGCAAGTCTTAGAGACTTGATAATTTGCATTTATACAAATAGACAAATATAATTTGATAACTTGAAAGGCCTTTGAGCTTATACAGCCTAAGCCCTCATTTTATAGCCAGGTCCAGTCACACAGGTAGCAGCGCACAGGACTAGAATCCAGGTCAGATGGAATGAGTGCCAGCACACCAGTCTCCCTGGTAACAATGTGAGCTATAAATTGTGTTGGGTGTATGGTGCTTGAATGCCAAATTCAGCCAGTTTAGGTGGGAACGGCTGTGAGAGGAGTAGGTATACAAGAGAGAAAACCGGACATCCCAGTGGTCTAATAGAAAGTGACATGCTTTGGCATTGAAATGCCATTATGTATATTTAGACACCCAGACTTTTCCAGAGAAAAACAGGGATGCACAAATTGGTGAAGCTGACAGCTGAACGAGTATAGATGCTGAGAAATGTCCACGTTGAAAAATGACAACTTGGAATTTTCATAGTCTAACAGAATGCCAATCTTCTTTGGGGAAACAGTTACTCTTATATCTGGAGTTGTTCTGTTGTGCAGAAATTCATACTTATGCCTGAAAATTAAATGTTATAACAAAACTTCAGAAACCTTGTAGATAGACTAATTACAGGACAAGTTCATATTAATTTTATTCATACTCTTATGATTTTGTTATTATATTAAATGACTACCAAAGTAGTCGAACTGTACTTTTTAAACTTTATCTCTTTTCTAAAATTTGTCCTAAGAAACACATTTGCAAAGTCCCTTTGTTCTTGAGCAACCTTGTAACCTAAGAGACATACATACAGTATCATAAACTCATATTGCATCAGTATTTTCATAGAAATAGAACACATTTTAAAACTTTGGATTTCAAGGCTTAAATGTGTAAATACTCTATAATAAAGGCATTTGTAACAGGGAACCTTGTGGTCTTTCATGTGATAAAAATGGGACCTTTGGTATAAGCTCTTCTGTGTGCAACTATTCCAGTTCTTAAATTTTCAAACCGACTGGGCCTGTCATAGATCAGTGTCATACAACGCTGGCACCCTTTAACCATGCTCTATGTTCTGTGCGCTTTGGAAAATATCTGAAACCAAAACCTGCCCCAAGAATTTCCTAACCCTGCTATCTGCAGACATTTGAAGAGCTCTGCATGCCAGCATGCTGGCCCAGACTCTTGGGATGAACATTCAGAGTATGATCGAAATGTGTCAGAAAAAGCCAGCCTGTCTCCATCCCAGTTCACCTCATCTTTTCTTAAATAAGCACCTGCCAGAAGTTATATATAGAGTCCTTCCTTCTACCTTTCCTCCTACCATCAATAGAATTTAATACTATGAAGCAAAAATGCAAGTCTGCTAGGAGACCTTATCCCAGGATACCTTACCTTTTTCTTCACTGGTAACACACACACCCTACATCCTTCCAAGATGGGACTGCAAGAAACTGGCCTGGCTTTAATGCTTGTCTGTTGCTTCGGCCCTTCCTTTGTCATTCTGTCTCTTGTTTCCACCCTTCTTCTATTGTCTGCTAACCCCCTCACCCCTCTCACTACACACAGACTCCTAGGCTTCCTTTATACTCCCTCAGTTTTACTGTGTCCCTTGTTCTTACCTTTCCAAAGAAGAGGACATATTGCTCTCTAGTCTCACTTCAAATAAAGTATCTGGCTCAGTACATAGTAATCTTGTGTTTCCAAAACTGGGTCTGAGGTTTAGTAGAGGTTATACTTTCAATCTATCATGGGGAGAAAGCTAGTCTTCCCCCTTATGCTTGAGCACAACAGATAATGTGCAAATAACCTTAATAGAGGATTAAGGGCAGAGAACTTTGGATGAATATTAATATGATTCATCAAACCAAGGAATGTCAGAGGCCTCATGTTAGAAGGGGTGCTAGGAAAGCTTTTTAAAAATTGTATTTATTTATTTTTGGAATTGGAGTCTTACTCTGTCACCTAGGAGTACAGTGATGTGATTATGGCTTACTGCAGGCTCGAATTCCTGGGCTCAGGTGAGCCTTCTGCCACAGCCTCCCAAGTAGCTGGGACTACAAGTGCACTCTACCATACCTGGCTAAGTTTTTTATTTTTTGTAGAGACAAGGTCTAACTAAGTTGCCCAGGCTGGTCTTGAACTGGGCTCAATCAATCCACCCACCTAGGCTTCTCAAAGTGCTGGGGTTACAAGAGTGAGCCACTGCACCCAGTCTTTATTTCCTTCAATTTCTGAGGTGAAGGAGGGTTATAACAATGACCTTCTAAATCTGAAAATGTCCACTGGCCTGGGCTTCGTGGAACTTTTTTCCCAGGTATATAGAACTATTCCAGTTTAAAGACAGCATGCCCAGTGCAGCAGGAACAAACCAGAATTAGCCATAACCATTAAGGCTTTTGCTCTCACATTTATGTAAAGAGATGGAATTGGGGCTTCAAAGCAAACTGTATCCATTTAATAACACTGAAGCTGAACATAAATCAGTTAGTGGTTAAGAATGTAGTCTCCAGAGTCAGATTTTTTGAGTGTGAATCCAAGCTCTGAATCCAGGTTGGGTGCATTCAAACTGCTGTGAGGCACAGACTTCTTATTTTTAAAATGGAATAATACAGTTATGAGGCATAAATGAGATGATTCACATAAGAGTATAGAACAGTGCTTGGCATGTAATGAGCTCTCCATGAACTTGAGCTATTTTTGTCACAAAATCTGCCCTTTGTCTTTTCATGTGGATTTTAGGGAAAATGGCTGACAACAATTCCTGAAATATCTTAGAATATTTTATAAAACATAATGTGGGCCTTAATTATTGTTAGTGAAAACCCCTTACTCTAGTCTTTCTAAAAAGTTAAACCTTGGGTCTCCAGATTTTACTTTACCTTGAAGATGCAAATGTGTGCCTCATGCACCAGGAGAAGCAGTTTGCTCCCAGGTCCTCCTGTTTCGGTACATCTTCAAAGGCCACACCAACTGTGTAGTCCAAATGCTCGTCCACCTCCACCTCCCAGTAATGGCGCCCTCGGACAGGAATTAGATTTCCCATGACAGCAACACACCTGGTTTTAGAAAGTGGAAGTGTGTGAATCTGAGTGCCCCAAGTCTGGCTGTATAGGTGAGTGGCACCAACTCCTGGGGTCTGTTAGTAGGTGGTCTATGAATGTGGAGACAGATGATTCTGGACACTTCACTTGGAAAGCACCCTTGGCTCTCAAAGGCTGCTGGTGAAAATTGGAAGAGAATTATCATGTTCTTTGGTAAGGGGAGAAGAGGAGACAACCAACAGAATAAATTCGGCTTGCTTTTTAAAATGGTAGGAGCGGTCGGGCTCGGTGGCTCAGCCTGTAATCCCAGCACTTTGGGAGGCCGAGGCGAGCGGATTGCCTGAGCCTGCGGGTTCGAGACCAACCCAGGCAAATTGGCGAGACCTTGTCTCTACAATAAAGATAACAAATTAGCCTGGCATGGTAGTGTGTGCTTGTAGTTCTGGCTAGTTGGAAGGCTGAGGTGGGAGGCTCACTGGTGCCCAGCAGGTTGACACTGGGGTGGCCGTGAATATGCCACTACACTTCAGCCTGGGCGACAGAGTGAGACTCCAAAAAAAAAAAAAAAAAAATGGTAGGGGCTTTTATAGTAATATAAAGGTTTGTTTCACTTGTTTATTAAAAAAAAAAAGTTGAAAATGCACAGAATACAGCCCAGTCAAGGAATCATAGACTTGAAGTTCATGACCTAGCCAGCACTTGCTTGTAGTACAAACACCACAAATCTAGCAAATTCCTCACAAAGCACCCAAATCTACCTCCAAGGCTGTACTGGGAACAATTACACTGACAAAGATCAAAGATCAAAGTTATGTTTTGTTTTACAACAATAAAGTACTCAGTAGAGGAAGGTTTTCACTGAAAATCAGATCACATCAGTATCTCTTAAGTGAATGTTCTACCTTTTTCAGGACACTCTTACCTTAACCAAAATTTATATAGCCCCTAACATCCTTAGAAAGGTTTCTTCAATCATCATTAGAATTTTCTGTCTATTCTCAAAGCCCAAAGTTCTGAATGCCAGTTAGTTAACACCTCTACCTCAGTCACCTCACCTATAAAATGATGTCATCTCTACTCCAAGCTTCAGACCTACATTTCCACCTGTCTCAAATTCAGAATGTCCCAAACTAAAATAATCACTTTCCCACCCCTCTCACCTACCAAAGTTTACGGTATCGCAGGAGGGGTACCTACTTCCCACATTTTCTACGTTTTGGTTAATAGACTCATTATCTATCCAAGTAACCCTTTGGCAGAAAACTAAGACAGGAATAATGTAGTAGCTACAAGCTCAGGTTCTAGTTTAATCCTGGCTCCAACACTTAATAGCATTATACCTTTGGGTAAGTTACTCAACTTTTCTGTACCTCAGTTTTCTCATCTGTCAAATGGGACTGATAATAGTATACCCCTGGTAGGGCAGTTGTGATTATTGAAGGAGATAATCTATATAAAGGATTTTATTTTATTTTATTTTTATTTTTTATTTTTGAGTTGAAGTCTCACTCTGTCACCCAGACTGGAGTGCAGTGGCTGCTCCTTGCCACCGCAGCCTCGACCTGCTGGGTTCTAGCAATCCTTCCACCTCAACCTTCCAGTAGCTGGAACTACAGGCGCGCGCTACAATGCCTGGCTAATTTTTTTGATTTATTGTAGAGATGAGGTCTCACCAAGTTGCCCAGGCGGGTCTCAAACCCGCGGGCTCAGGCAATCCACTCATCTCAGCCTCCCAAAGTAGGCTGAGCCACCGAACCCGGCTCATATAAAGGATTTTAAATCTAGCACTTGGGAAGCACTGTAAATATGACAATGATATCTCCTTCGATTGCCCTTTCAACAGTTGGCCAGCTCAACCTTATTAGTTTTATGAGCTCAACAGCAGTTGAATCCATTGGCTCCTCTCATCCACTGCTTCCTTAAGGCCTCCACAGCTTCCTCTCCGGTCTCCTTATTTCCCACCTGCCTTTTCCTCTCTCTCCCCAGCTCACCTTGCACCATCCACTGGGATCTTTCTGAAATGTAAATCCTGTTGTACTCTTGCTTTAAATCCACCAATAACTGTCATCACCAAATGGATAAAATCCAAACTTTTTTTGTGCTGGACTTTGTCTTTCCTGCCTCATCTTCCATCTCTTCCCATTGTGGACCCTTTACTGCAGACATGCTAAACTGTGTATACTTCTCCAAATGTGATTTTTCTTACTTTCTTCATATGTACATGTGCAAAGCACTTATCTGCTTTGGTTTGAAACTGCCTATATCAAATTCATCTTGGACCATGGGGTAAAAGCTGTAGAAGAGAGTTGAACCCTGAAAAGCTGTAGCTCTGCTTAGAACTTAACAAACCTGTTGTTTCTAAGTTTGCTGTCTCACCAACAGAGCGCAATTGATTATCTTCATGTTCTGACCCCTGGGGAGGGGAAAGCTGCCCCACAAGGCTGATATACATATTCTCCCTTAAACAGTGAGCCTAGAGTCATACTGATGCAAAAGTGGAGCAGCCAGAAGTGGATCCAATCTCCAGGGACCCTACCTCCCTCAGTTATTCTTCCTAAACTACCTCTATAATGGCTCAATGCCCAAGGGCTAGTAGCTGATAGTTATTTGCTTTGTACATCTACTGTAAAACCTAAGAATGGTATTGAGGTATTTTTCAAACTTTGTACTCTGAAGGACCATAAGCCCTACCCAGGCCCAGAAAACACATGCCAGGAAGCTAGCTCCACCAGTCCTGTTATGCCCCCTCCTAGAAATCAACTTGGCACGCCAAGACATCATCAACCAATCAGCAGTCTCTGTTCCCCTGCCCACCAAGTTCCCTTTAAAACCTTGGCCTCTGAACTTTTAGGGAGGCAGATTTGAGTAATATCCCTTGATCTTCTTGCTCAGCTGCTTTGTGATATTAAACTCCTTCTCCACTGTAGTGTCTGCATCAGTCTTGGCTTTTCTGGGCAGCAGGCTAACAACCCAGTTAGGCTATAAATGTTGGCCTAGAGAACTCCTATTTATCCCTCAAGACCCATCCCCTTCAAGAAGTCTTCATCCTGGGCCTCCTACAAGGCCATGTCCATACATTTACCATATCTTTTTTATGTATGTCTTTTACATGTGTGTCTCCCCCACAAGAAGATCTCAGTCTTAGGTGGGCAAGCAATGTATCTTCATCTCTTTACCTCCAGCACACAGCACAGTGTTTCACAGGGCAACAGACATATTGGTAATTGGATATTAAAATAGGACTCTCTAACTGAACTTGGCTGAACCCCCAAAAGCCAAGAACCAAGCAACAGGTGTCAAGTATTCCTGTATTTAAGGTGAGATGCTGGACCACCTAAGAAGAGCTTGGCAATGGAGATGACCAAAAACTGGTTTTGCAACTTATAGTATAACAATGAAAGGCTAAGTTAAAAAATGCTTGTGGCTTTGCCCAGAGAGCTTTCTTACAACTCACACAAAGGAAGAGTGAAGTAGCAGTGACCTGGTGCAAGGTATGTGCTTTCCCAGGACCAGGTATGACTGGAACCCACCACAGGAATGCTGTCTCAGTATTGTCTCTGATGGCATCCTGTCCAAGAGGACTTCTGTGAGGGCTGAGGAGACCTCGGCAGAAAGAGGCTAGAGTTGTGCTAGATGCAGAGGTTGATGGGTTGTGAGGGGCCACGACAGAGGGCCTATAACAACGCCCATGAGAGAAAAAGTCAGTTTGAAACACTACTTTGGTGCCAATCAGGTAAGACCTTTATAGTTTCTTTCTTCTCTCTACACCCCTCAACCCTGAACTGAATAGGCAGAAGAGGGCAAGGATAAAACTGTCTTCTGTGCCCTGCAGAGTCCTGCTGTTTCACACTAACACATCTGGTAGCTACTTAACCCAAGTGCAGTAGAAAGGTCAGCGGAAAGCCAGGGTCAGAGGAAGAGCCAGCTGAGGGTCCAGGACCAGGCAGGAGGCTGGATGCAGTTTTCCAACAGGGGCCCTTCCAGTCCCTTTGCTTCCTTAGAAGATCCTCCTGACTCTAAAATCAACCTCTCAAGAGCACTTTTTGTCCAGGCGACCAAGAAGCTGACAGGCTACATTTAATGTTTAATCCTGGAAATGGAATTAACCCTTAAAGTGAAACTGTGTTCTTTTATTTCTCCTATTTCTTTGATTTTTCTATTTCAAATGTATATTTGCCTTTATTTTAGTTGTAATACATCTTTGGAAAGAAGGAAGGAATACATAAATCACTTTGTGATTGAAATTCCATTTCAGCTTTTTGAGGCATGGTTTTAAAGCCTCTTAACTACACTTTATTTATTTTATTATAATTATTATTTTGAGTCAGAGTTTCACTCTGTTACTTAGGCTGGAGTGCAGTGGAAATCTCACAGCCACCTCAGCCTCGGCCTGCTGGGCTCAGGTGATCCTTCCACCTCAGCTTTCCATGCCTGGCTAATTTTTTGATTTATTGTAGAGACAAAGTCTGGCTAAGTTGCCCAGACTGGTCTCGAACTCCTGGACTCAAGCAATCTTCTTTCCTCAGCCTCCCAAAGTGCTGAGATTACAGGTGTGAGCCACCACGCTCAGTTTCTTAGCCCACACTTTAAAAAAAATTTTTTTTTCTTTCCTAATCTGTATACCTGCTTGAGAAATTCCAGAGGGTGTTCCAGAGTCAGACCTCGGGAATAACAGAGTATGGAGACCAAATGGCAGAATTTTCCATCATTTAGTGGTCACCTTAAGGTGATTAAGCTACAGCCTTGCCACAATCAGGACCAGATGGGCTAGCTCTCCAGGTGGACTATAATTTAAGATAATCATTGAAGCAAGACCATCTCGCTGTGCCACTCCCAAGTGCCCCTCATTTCCATTCTTTCTCTTTAAAATCCCCAATCCTCCATCTAAATTTTGAAATGTATTTTTTTGAGGCATGAGCCTGGCCATTTCTTCATCTGAGTTTCGATATAAAATCACTTTCCTTCCACTAAGTCTCCTTATTTTGACCTGCAAGACATGAGTAGCAAAACTTGCTATCTGCAACAACTTCAACATTTATTGTGTACTAACCTTTAGAAGCACTAGAGCCGGGTGTGGTGGCTCATGCCTGTAATCTCAGCACTTTGGGAGGCCGAGGTGGGAGGTCTGCTTGAGCCTCAGAGTTCAAGACCAGCCTAGGCAACATAGTGAGACCTTGTCTTTACACGCACACACAAAAAATTAGCCAGGTGTGGTGGCCTGTACCCATAGTCCCAGCTATTCAGAAGGCTGAGGTGGAAGGATTGCCTGTGCTCAGAAGGTCAAGGCTGCGATGAGCTCAGATCATGCCACTGCCCTCCAGCCTGGGTGACAAAGAGGGACCCCCACAACTCAAAAAAAAAAAAAATTGTAGCTAGAGCACCAGCCAATCAGCCAGCATTTTCAGTGGGCCACCTCCACCCCCCAGATCATGTACTAGTACAAATGTTTCCCCACCAACTTTGGAACAGACTCACTCTGTGGCCAGTTTTCCAACAGGAGTTTTGCTATATAGAGTAGGAGAGACAGCAATGGGCTGAGCTAGGAGACCGGGGGTCTTGTTTTCCGTGTAACCCATTTCCCACCCTCCATGAGCTCAAGCTCCTTCTGTACCTGCAGCCTAGGACACAGCAACCAGGCCCTACCTCTTCTGCCTGCACCAGCCAGACCCCTTCTGGTCCCCTCCCCTGGTGTCTTACCCATCAGATCCTACCCCCTCACTCATTTCCACAGTTTCTTTTCTCCCTCAAAACTGCATCTCTGAGTCGTATTCCAATTTTTCCTGAATAACAGTGTATGTTAAGGGAGATCACAGAACATTCTTGTGAGCAGTCAGCAAAGTACCTGGTAAAGCGGGTATGGCTGGACAGCGACTCCTTTACAGAAATTTTCCTTTGGCTTCGTGTGACTGTAAGCCCATCTTCAGAAATGGTCAGCCAGGGATGACAGGTGTCCTTGTTCAGGTGAAAGTAGCTTCCTGTGGGAGAGGGGACACACGGAAGACCTTCAGCCAGTCATTCCACTGCTTTTTCCACGTAGGTGCTCCCCGTGGGCGGAGGGTTTTCCTGTGCATCAATGGCTCAACTTCCTGCAGGACACACGCCAGTCTGGGCCTTGCATGGTAACAGCCACCGAAATAATAAGGAGGGTAGTTAACACGTTTCTGGCAGAGACTAGTATTGAGCTAAGCAGCTTGCAAGTCTTAGTTCCTTTAGTCCTCACAATTTCCCTTAGAGACAGGTGTTACTATTTCAATTTTGTAGATGAGGAAACTGAGGTACAGGGTGGTTAAGAAATCAGCTGGCAAATGATAGAACTCAATCTAGAACCTCTAAGCCCTTCTAATTCCAGAGACTGTGCTCCTAACTTCCAGGCTACAAATGCCTGCACATGGACAAGAATTTCTAACCTACTTGCCAAGGGAAGTAGGAATTGAGGGACTTCTTAATGAACCATTTGACAAAAGTTAGCAAAATTCAACATTCAACTTGCAATTAAGGCAGTGGGGGAGAAGGAAGGAGATTAGCGTCATCTTCAAGTCATGGTTAAAACAAAGCTCATCAAAAAGTGGAACAGGATAGAGCTAATACAAAATTACTTATAAAAAAAATCTAGACTGGGTACAGTGGCTCATGACTGTAATCCCAGCACTTTGGGAGGCTGAGGTGGGAGGATTGCTTGAGGTCAGGAGTTCAAGACCAGGCTGCAACATAGCAAGACCCTGTTTCTACAAAATAAGATAAAATAAAAAATAAAATTTAATTTAAAATATCTGCTATTTAGAAACATAGTAACTCACTCTCCTTTGTCTCTAAGTCAAACTCTTACTTTCTTAAGTTCTCATTTTATCATTTCTCTATGTCTCAAATCCTAGTTCAAGCATCATCATCAAACTCTTCACAGCTATTTTCACAATTTGATGCGGCTGGAAAATTTAACTTACCATCTGAGCTGACCAGGGAAGAGGAGGTATGTTCCCACCTTGCAGCTAACAGGTGCATAGCCCTCCCTGCCTGCTCTCTAGTCCCAAACAAGGATTGTTTTTTGTTTTGTTTTGTTTTGAGTTGGAGTCTCACTCTGTCGTCCAGACTGGAGTGCAGTGGCCGCTGCCGGCCACTGCAGCCTCGACCTGCTGGGCTCCGGCGATCCTTCCACCTCAGCCTTCCAAGTAGCTGGAACTACAGGCGTGCGCTCCCATGCCTGGCTAAGTTTTTTGATTTATTGTAGAGATGAGGTCTTGCCAAGTAGCCCAGGCGGGTCTTGAACCTGTGGGCTCAGGCAATCCACTCACCCCAACCTCCCAAAGCGCGGGATTACAGGCTGAGCCACTGAGCCCGGCTAGGGATCGTTTTTAATACTTTTTTTTTTTTTTTTTTTTGCTGATTCACATTTGTTTAAGTTTCTTATAAATACATTCTTAAAAAATTATTTGAGAGCCAGGTGTAGCAGTGTACATCTATAGTTCCAGCTACTTCAGAGACTGAGGTAGGAAGATCTTTTGAGCCCAGGAGTTTGAGGCTGTAGTGCACTATAATCGAGCTTGTGAATAGCCACAGCACTCCAGCCTGCAAAACATAGCTAGATCCTATCTCTTAAAAAAAAGTATTTGGGCTGGGTTCAGTGGCTCAGCCTATAATCCCAGCACTTTGGGAGGCCTAGGTGAGTGGATTGCCTGAACCCATGGGTTCGAGACCAGCCTGGGCAACTTGGCAAGACCTCATCTCTACAACAAATAAATAAATAAATAAAAATTAGCCAGGTGTGGTGGTACACACCTGTAGTTCTGGCTACTAGGAAGACTGAGGCGGAAGGATTGCTGGAGCCCAACTGGTTGACGCTGGGGTGACTGTAAGTGTGCCACTGCACTCCAGCCTGGGTGACAGAGTGAGACTCCAACTCAAAAAACAAAAAAGTATTTGAGCAAACAAATTAAGAGACAACTGAATAATTAAGAGCTGGCTGTACTCTATAAAGCAGTGCCGGGACAACAGGAGCTGTGTGGAATGTTTCCAGTGATGTCTTGGCTAACTCAAGTCTTGGACATGAAATGTGATAGTTCTGTGGCATGATGATGGCAGGTGAAAAGGGAGAAGGAGTTGTTGGGTATGTGAGTACCTACAAGCCTGGAAGGACCTGGGAGGAGGCTGGGCACCAGGTCTAAGTTGGGCCTCTGGATGGGGAGATGCTCGGGTTGACGGCAGGAACATGGAGGTAACCCAAGGCCAATGTCTTTTCCTGGGGATTTCATAAAGAGCCTGTCCCAAGTATGGTATGTGAGATATGAGGTGTCTGGGCCACCCAGGTCCAGAGTGACAAGCCTAGGTTTACCTGAGGGGCTTGGAGAAAAATCTTGAGTTATAATGCTTACTTAGCCAAACAAATTGCTATGTGACTTGGGTCTTCAGTCTCCTCATCTATAAAATGGGACCACAGGGCTTTCGTCACCCCTGAGCCCCTTGTAGGCCTGACTTTCCATGTGTCCATATCTATGCATATCCATCCATTTCCCAATGAAGTCATAACAGCACTGGATCTGTCAGAGTGGCCACTTTGGGTCTCAGAGAGTGTGTGACCTGGGGCACAGACCTGTGGTATGGACTGTGGCAGGCTCACTCCTTGCACTGGGGCCCCCCACATTGAGGGCTCGCACATAGATCACGTAACTCTGCCCGGGCTGCAGCTGCAACAGGGCCTCACAGGTCGGAATTCCCACGATGGACCTGTATAAGGAATCAGAGCTGCAGTCAGTGGGGGCCAGGGCATCCTGGTCCAAGCACCAAGCACCAAGCATCCCTTTCAAAGCTGGGAAATTTAACTCCTCTCATGCCTCTTTCCTCTGAGCCAGGAGTGTCGATGCCCTTCTCTGTTCCCTCCCACAGACTCTAGTCTGCTTTCTCACTTTGCTGATGTGCCTTGTGTTTGTGGCAGTCTCCCCTGCAAGTTCTCCATCCTGGTTCCCCAGACACCCAGCAATGTGCTTGGCATACATCCTATGCTGCATCGTGGAGCGTGCACGTGGTAGAATCCAGTGTGTCTCTGTCTGTCTGTTAGTAGCACTTCTCTGAGGGCATGGACTGAGCACCACTAACCTTCATACAGCGCTGGGCCTGTGGAAAGCCCTCAGTCTGTGTTTATGAACAAATGGCTGACTAGAGTTGAAAGGGCCCACAGAAGTCTATTGCTGTTAGCCCCCTTCAGGACAGCTGCCTTTTGGAAATATTCCAATTTACTTAAATTGTACTATACACGAATGAAAGCTGTACTTGTCATTGTTTGTATTGCTGTGGTTTCCAACCCCATTTCCGTCCAATGGGTAAGATAAATCTTTAGGGTGATCCCCATTTATAGATAAACACCTTCACCCAGACGAGGTCAAGTTGTTCAGGTTATCTCAGAGGCTGCAGTTCTAGGTCAGAAGGGCACTTTGACTTTTTCACTCAGTAATAACTAAGCTCCTTAGGTTTCAGGCACTGTATAGGGAGGCCCTGAGGATAACTGAATGTAGTCCCCACCCTCATCAAGCTTCCAGTTTAGATGGGAAGAAAAGTATTCCTCATGCAATCACTGGAAGAAATGTAAGACGGTAAACATGACAAGTGTGCTACAGAACATAAAAGGCGGGGGGTGAAAATATCCCTGTCCTATCAGGCAACTGGGCTCTGCAGAATGACGAGCAAGTAACTTGTGAAAAGGGGCTAGAGGAGTTCTCTACACAGAAGGAGAAGCATGTGCAAAGGCCCTGTGAAGGGAAGGAACATGGAAAGTGGGAGGAACTAAAACAGGTGGTGGGAGTGGAGAGGGAGGGCAGCTGGTGTGGGAGGAGCTGGAGAGGCAGGAAGGGGCCAGAGCCTGTGTGGGAGTTTTATCTTTTCTTCAGCAATGGACCGCTATGATTAAATTTGTACTGGGAGCATACTTCTCATCTCTCAGGTGACCTATCTCTGATGACCCCATCATTATGGTTTGCTTCTGGGTGTCAGGAACTCCTAAAACATCGGTACAAATCACGGGGAAACCTGAACCATTAGGGCAGTCAGAGCCACTAGACCCCCTGCCCTAATCCTGAGTATCTCCAAAAGTGGTTACCAAGGTCAGCCTCCATGTGGCTATGAACACATAGATTCCACCTGGAACAGATGGAAGGGCAGGATAGATGGCCAGATTCCAAGCTCGGCACTTGGCATAGAAGAATCTCCCCCCTAACAGTTGGCACCAAATCCCCCTTCTGTTTCTCCAGATCCTGGCCAGTGTACCCCTGTGTTCTACCACAGGGCAACGCCTAGTCTTAGTGGCTGGGGCTGGGCTGCCTGGCTGATTCATTCCCCTCACAACCTTCTGGGCTGCCTGGTTGTAAGCCAGAGGTACATCCATGCTTCCTCTTTCATGCACGGCTGTAGACTCCTAGGACTCTCAGTTCCTGGTGGTCACTGAGTCCAGCCCTTATCAATTTGTGAACTGCTCCAGCTCTCTGACACCCAGGGGTGAACATGAGCCTCCAGACAGCCTTCAGCGAAAGACACAACATTCTTTTATATTGAACTGCAATCTCTTGTTTTTGTCTCATGACTTTTTCTCTCTCCTCCCTGAATTTCAGCCAGGTGGGTCTTTTAGTTACTTTGGTATATCAAGTTCACTCCTGCCCTGGGGCCTGTGTCTATGCAGCTCCCTTTCCGGGGAGCACCCCAGCATCTGCAGTTCTCAGGGCCCAGTCTTTCCCATCTGTTCAGGCTTTAGTTTTTTTGTTTTGTTTTGTTTTTGGAGTTCTCACTCTGTTACCCAGGCTGGAGTGCAGTGGCATGATCATGGCTCACCACAGACTCAAATTCCTGGACTTAAGCAATCCTCCCACCTCAGCCTCCTAATTAGCAGGGAAGACAGGCATGCACCATCACACCTAGCTGATTTTTAAATTTTTTGGTAGAGATGGGGTGTCACTATGTTGCCTAGGCTGGTCTCAAACTCTTGGGCAGTCTTCTCTCAGGCCTCAGTTTAAACATCTTCTCTATACAAAGTAAAGCCCCATCTCCACCACCATTTTCTGCTCCATTACATATCATTTTCTTCCTAGCACTGTGTATTTTACACATTGATTTTTTTGGGTCTATTTTCTCACCTGACTGTCAGTCCCATTGGGGCAGGAAATCTGTCTATCTAGTTCCCCAGTGCCTTGCACAGGACCTGGCACCACCTAGGTACTTCATACGTGAATGAATGAATGGTAAACCTTAGGTGGCCTGAAAAAAAAAAAAAGGCAAGCCTGAGCTTTAACCAGCTTACTCATTCATTCATCCTTTACCTTTAGTAAGAGAATTCCAGCTACTTCTCATGGAAACTAAGCAACCTTTGATTAAGATTCCTGTGTATCACAGATAACGTTTCCACACACTTCCTAAGCCATATCACTATGTCAGGTGTCAGAGCTCTCATGTCCAGCAAATCCCTCGTGACTTACTCGGTTACACCCGAGGCTTCAGGGCTTTCTGCCTGGGTCAGCTCCACTGTGTAGGAGTCCACAGGATTCAGATTCCCAGACTCCCAGCAAATCAGTGCAGCCTCTTTGCAGCTCCGTATCTCTTTAGTTTTTATAATGGGGGGAGAAGGTGCTAGATGTGGGAGAAAGGGAGAGATGGAAAACTGCTGTGTTCATTTGCAGTCATTTGAGGCATGGACAAACACTACACCGCCCTCTTCCTCCCATAAAAGAGACTCAGTGTAATAAAAGGCAAACCAGGGAATGTCTTTCTGATGTTCCCTGAGTGGAGGATGGTTACAAGGCTCAAATGTCCATGTGACCAACAGTAACAGTTTTTGATATTTTGAGACCAGCCATGAGGAAATGCTCCTGCTCTATCAGGCATGTAGATTTGGTGTATTAAGTGAAAGAAAAAAATTACGCAGCTTGTTCTTCCAAATGAATTCAAGAGCCCTGCCATGTCTAGAAATCCATGATTCCTGTGTCCCCTTCAATAAAGACCCTGCTACAGAAAACGAGTGGCCCCATTACCTGTCATGTACACTGCATGCTCACTGGAGGGGCTGGGACCAGCCCTGTTGTGAGCTGTGACCCAGAATTCATACTGGGTATTTGGCACAAGGTTTGTTACCGAGCAATATGTTTCTTTGATGGTCACTGTAAACTCTGAAAAAAAGGCAAAGATAAGAATTCAACACTAGCAATAGGCCAAATGGCTCCAAATTCATTGTGCTGAATCGTACTGTAGTAGATTATAGAACTGGTCGCAAATGCCTCCCATCCCTCACTGCCCTGCAATGTGACTTTGCTGCTTCTTCATTAAGAGGCTCCTTCTTTCTCTTGTTTCCTTGAAGTTGGGCTCAACTACTTGCCTTGTTTTCCAATGGGGCGATAGCAAACATGACACAAGTCAGGGCTTGGGAAGTGCTGGTGCATAGGGGCTTGTCCTCTTGCTACTGTATATGCTTCCACTACCAAGTGAACAAGCCCAAGCTAGCTTCCTGAAGGATGCAAGACCACAGAGAGAGAGGCCCCAGCTGGCCAGGTCATCCAAGCCATCCTAGCTGAAGCAATAGGTGAGACCATCCTAGATCACCCATCCTACCCAAGGTGGCTCCGACCAGAACTGTCCAGCCAACCCATGGAATTATAATTAAAAAAAATATTTGTTATTTTAAGCCACTGAGTTATAGAGGAGTGGAGAGGGGATGTTGTTATACAGCAAAAACTGATTTGACTCCAAACCTCCCCAGAATCTTGAAAGGCAGTGATAACCCATTGATCTATCCTCTGACATCAGTTACTTTATAAAAAAAGCGATCTATTTAAAAGACCTTCTCAGCAAATTTGATAGAACTGGAGACAATCGTTCTTAGCGATCTATAACAGAAACAAAGAACCGAATACCACATATTCTCACTCATAAGTGGGCCCTGAACATTAATCACAATAGCACAAGGGAGGGATCAGCAGTCGCAGGACACTGCCAGGGGAGGGAGAAGGGAGAGGGCACGTGACAGCACAAAGGGTGCCTGATCCCAAACCAGCAGAAGGTAGGACCACTTGGAGACCCAAACTTCACCTGCACATACATTACCTATGTATCTAATCCTGACTTGTACCCCACATCTTTATAATAAAATAAAGTTAAAAAATAAAAATAAAAGACCTTCTTAGATGCCATGACACAGCCCCAACACAATGGCTTTTGTATGTCAGCAGGGCATGCCAGCAGGGTTGATTCATGGCAAAAACTGGAGTTAATCAGGCCTGATTTCTTTGGCCTCCAACCTTCCTTTCCAAAGCTCTTCCTCCCCCGCCCCACCACCATGTCCTCTTTAGTGCTTATTCTAACCACCCTTACCCTCCCTCATCATCACTTAAACTTACTCTTACTTTTCTCAAGAATTTCTCTTCCTTCCTAGGCAGAAACATCATCCTCATCTTCCGGAACTCAGAGCCCCCCACTTGCATGACTGGTTCAATGAGCAGAACTCTGGGCACACCCAAGTCTCATCCTGGTCCTGCTATAACTCGCTGTATTCCCAGGGACAGTTCATTTCTCTCTGGGTCTCAGTTTCCTTATCTGTAAAATGGAAATCTCTAAGCCCCTTTGCAGCAATCTCACTCTGACCAGCAATCTCATACGTACAGGACAAGTACTGTCAGGCTGGCCCTGATGCCCTGATTCTCTCAGATGCTCAGCTGGTGCTCTCCTGCTGTCTGACCCTCCCTTCTCAAAGGAGTACAGCTTATTGTTTATTAGGGATGAGAGGCATCTACCCCAGGCCTAACCCAACGTGAGCCAGACCCATTTCCCTGGGAAAAGGATGGGCCAAGAGTTCCCCACAGTGAAGGCTGGTGGCCTTTCCAGGAGTTGCCTCAGCCTGGGAATGTAGAGGTGATCAGCAGCAGCCATTCCAGGCTGCCAAGGCCCCCTCACCCTTCACGGGGTCTTCAGAATAATCCTCCAGTCTCTCCTGTAGCACAAGGCTGCTGTGAGACGAGTCAGACTAACCCTCAGAGGCCAGGACATGCTAGACTTTGGCCAGCCAACTGGGCCTCCTCAACAAGGGGTGCCCCCAGCCCTTCCTGCGCTCAGTGCTGCCAGAGACTGATCTCAAGACCGCTCAGACCTGACGACTTTAAATAAATTCTAGACCAGGGGCCCCCAAGTCCATGGACTGTTAGAATTGGGCCACACAGCAGGAGGTGGGCGGTGGCAAGCCTGCAAAGCTTCATTTATATTTACAGCCACTCCTCATTGTTTACATTACCTTCTGAGCTCTGTATTCTGTCAGATCAGCAGTGGTATTAGATTCTCATAGAAGGCTGGGTGTGGTGGCTCACGCCTGTAATCCTAGACTTTGGGATGCCAAGGCAAGAGGATTGCCTGAGCCCAGGGGTTCGAGACCAGCCTGGGCAACTTGATGAGACTTCATCTCTACAAAAAAAAAAAATTAGCTGTGGTTCCAGCTACTCGGAAGGCTGAGGTAGAAGGATCACCAGAACCCAGCAGGTCAAGGCTGCAGTGGCTGTGAGCATGCCACTGCACTCCAGTCTGGGTGACAGAGTAAGACTCCAACTCAAAAAAAAAAAAAAAAAATTATCATCTGAGCATGAACCCTATTATTAACTGAGCATGCAAGGAATTTAGGTTGCATGGTCCTTATGAGAATCCAATGCCTGATGATCTGAGGTGGAGCTGAGGTGGTGATGCCAGTGCTGGGGAGTGGCTGCAAATACAGATTAACATTAGCAGTGAGGTTTGACCGCATGGAGACCATAATAAATCAATTGTTTGCAGACTTATATCAAAACCCTATCAGTGAGTGGCAAGCGAGTTGATGTACTTCAATTGCCACACCTGGTGGCAGGCTTTAAGTCAGAATCCACACTTAATTTAGTCTGCACATGGCCCGCCCATTATTTTATTTACCACATCCATCAGCACCTCTTTTTATTTTTCATGGTGAGTTGTAGAATTATTTCCCTAAATAGTACAATGTAATAATAATAGAAATAAAGTGCACAATAAATGGTATGTGTTCGAATCATCCTGAAACCACCCCCACCCCCTATCTGTGGAAAAATTGTCTTCCATGAAACCAGTCCCTGATGCCAAAGAAGTTGGGGACCACTGCTTCAGACTCCCTTCACCTGGCCTCAAGGTCCTCCCCAGTGATGCTCCAACATGTCTTTCTAACCCTTTCGGTCATGCTCCATCCTACCCTGCTCTGTGTGCAGACTAGTCCAATCTCCATCATCTGATTGCAAGGAAGGCAGGGTCTGGGGCTCTAAGGAGCCTGAACCATTCCCATGTTCCTGGCGGAGCCTCACCTGCTTGGTTCTTCCCAGGTGAGCTGTCCTGCACTGGTCGATAATACAGCTGATAGCTCTCCACAGTGTCATCAGAGTATAAACTCCAACATACTCGGACTGAGGAACCTGTGGCTGAGTTGGGAGCTTGAGGATTTATCACTGGAGCAGAAGGAGCTGGAAAAGGAAAAGAGAGAGAGAGAAAAAAAGAGGAGCCTTAAGTAGAGGTGTGGGATGAGGTGGCCTCTTTATAGAATCACTGATCCCCCAGTGCATCTGTGGGTTTTCAAAATGGAAGAGGCAGCCTGGAGTGGACGAGGATGGGAACACAGAGTCTCTCAACTGTGAGTCTACAAAGAATAACCAATACACTCATTCCTGCTTTGACAATGCAGATGAGCTTAGGGAATAGGGGTCGATGATGGTGACTCAGGCTGGGGTATATTTTGCAAGTCTTGTCCCAGGTTGGGGGTCCTCTGGCCCTTCTATGACATCCGAAGAGGCAAGACAACCAGGATCACAGCACTGCTGCCCTAATCCTGAAGTGAACAGAGGGAAAGACCCCTCAACAGGGAAGCACTGCTTTGTGTGTGTGTGTGTGTGTGTGTGTGTGTGTGTGTGTGTGTGGTGTGTGCGTGTGTATGTCATGGGGTGGTATCCCATGACCATCTCCCACTTTTCTTTTTTTTTTTAGATTGGAAAATATAGTTTATTTAGAAAGTAATTAGAGAGAGAGAGAGAGAAGATTCACCTCTCCAAGGTGGGGACAGGGGCCAAAGCTAGGAAAACATGGCGGCCATAGCTCAAAGAGCCATGTGGCCAGACCAGAGCTTAACAAAACAATGTCCCATCTCCCACATTTCAGTGAGAAAAGATTGAGGTGGTCCAATTGTTCTTTTCAGAACCAACTTCTTTAGAGTCTATCTACTGAGTTAATTATTTTCTTCTCTGCAGCCCAGTACTTCTGCCTTCTCCTCTATACCCACCTCAACAGTTTCACACATAGCTGATAAAAACAATTATGGATTTTTTCTCCATAATTCTCCCACAGCAGTACCTCCCTCCTTCTTAGGTTTTAAAGAACATTCTTAGTTTCAAAACTTGAAATTGAGCAATCCAGGTAAGAGCACAGATAAAGGAGTTGACTTAGCCACGACTCATCTTTTGCTTTCAGGTCAGGTGCTAGAAGACCATAATGTAACAGAGGTGAGGAGGAAGACAAAGAACCTGTATCCCCCAATGACAAGGTCCAAGGTTCACAGCGGATGCCCTTCTATACACTGTCAAAAACAGCTCCACCTAGAGATGCAGTGTAAGAGTGGGGATGGTTCTGGGAGACTGTAGCCCCTCAAGAGGCACCGGAGCAAGCTGGAGGGTGATGGTCTGTGTGGGACCTAGACATAGGGGGGTGAAAAAATGGACAATTGTGTCTTTCCTTCCCAATGACTAGGCCTGAGCATTTGAGAAGTACCATTCCTAGATGAGAGAAAGGACCATCCAGTGGGCATCACAGCTCAGTGAAATCTCTCTATCACCCACAGTGATTCTAAGAAGGGCCCCCAAGATCTAAGATTAAAAATACTTACAATGACACAAAGCCTAGTATTAAACAACCGAGGATTAAGTAAACAAATGAAGGTATATAGCCATTAAATTGATATTGTGGAAGAATTCATCAGCGAGAGAAAATCTCCATCATAATTGTTTTGCTGAAAGAAAAAAAAGCAAGCAGATTACAGCTGGGCACAGTGGCTCACACCTGTAATCCCAGCACTTCAAGAGATTGAGGCAAGAGGACTGCTTGAGTCCAGAAGTTCAAGGTCAGCCTAGGCAATATAGTGACACCTCATCTCTACAAAAATAAAAAAATTAGCTGGATGTGGTGGTGTATGCCTGTAGTCCTAGCTGCTTGGGAGGCTGAGGAGGCAGGATCGCCTGAGCTCAGAAGGTCGAGACATCAGTGAATCATGATCACATTACTGCCCTCCATCCTGGGCAAAAGAATAAGAGCCCAACTCAATTAAAAACACACACAGAGATTACAAAATAAATGATTCAATGATTCCATTTTTATTTAAATATGTGCAAGTAAAAACCTAAAATGATATATATAACATTGTTTTCAATCATGTTGTTCAATGTTGGTGAGAAAATGAAGGTAAGCAGTTAAAAAAAAAGCTGAATGATGACATTTTTCTTAGAAATAAGTCATCAATAATATTTTAAACATACTTGGCACCATGTAATGTGCTGTACATATATTACCTTGCCTTTAATTCCCCATAAGGTATTATGATGTCCACTTTATAGATGAAGAAAACAAGATTCAGAGAGGTTAGATGAATTGTCCAGGGTCACACAGCTAGAAAGTAGCAGAGTTGAGATTCTCACCAGCTCCATCGCATTCCAAGCCCATCTCTTAATCACTATGCTAAACACAGCCACCCAGGAGGGACATAAATGCAACATTTAAGGAAATAAGATGTGGGCTTCCCACTTGGTGCAAATTAGGCAGGAAGGTAGATGCTCAGGAAGCTGCACAGCCTATGAACAGAAAATATTTCAAGGCTGCCTAGAGCCAGAGTGAGGGTAGGCACTTTACCTGGGGAGATCAGTCTCTATTCTCATACTCATAAGCCATAAAGACAAAACCAGGAAGTTAAAGCTACAAAATACTTGTTTCTAAATCTTTATTTTTATTTATTTATTTTTAGATATTGAAGTTTCTTACTCAAACCTCAGGAAGTCTTTAGGGTTTTCTACAATAAGATCATATCATCTGCAAATAGAGGTGATTTTATTTTTTCCTTTCCAGTTTTGGATGCCTTTTATTTCTTTTTCTTGTCTAATTGCTTTGGGCTAGGACTTCTAGTACTATGTTGAATAGAAGTGTTGAGAGTGGACATCCTTGCCTTTTCCAGATCATAGAGGAAAAGCTTTCAAGTTTTTACCATTGAGTATGATGTTAGCTGTGAGATGTCTTATGTGGCCATTATTATATGAGTGTTTTTTTAAATCATGAAAGAGTATTACGTTTTGTCAAGTGCTTTTCCTGTATCTATTGAGATGATTATATGGTTTTTATCCTTAATTCTGTTAATGAGGTATATCATATTTATTGATTTGTGGTATGTTAAACCATCCTTGAATCCCAATGATAAATCCCACTTGATCATAGTGCATCCTCCTTTTAATGTGTTGTTTAATTCAGTTTGCTAGAATTTTGTTGAGAATTTTTGCTTCTATAACCATCAGAGATATGGACCTGTAATTTTCTTTTCTTGTATTGTTTTTGTCTGGCTTTGGTATCAAGGTAATATTGGCCTCATAACATAAATTTGGAAGTATTTCCTCCCCTTCAAGTCTTTAGAAAAGTTTGAGAAGGACTGATACTAATTCTTTAAATGTTTGGTAGAATTCACCAGTGCGGCCCTTTGTCCCTGGGCTTTTCTTTGTTGAGAGATTTTTGATAACCGATCCAATCTCTTTACTCATTATGGATTGGTTCATATTTTTTATTTCTTCATGATTCAGTCTTGATAGATTACATGTTTCTAGGAATTTATCCATATCTTCTAGATGATCGAATTTGTTGGTGTATAAATGTTTATCGTATTCTCTTATAATTCTCTGTATTTCTGTGGTATCTGCTGTAATGTCTCCTCTTTTATTTTTTATTTTATTTATTTGAGTCTTCTCTCTTTTTTGATTAGTTAGTCTAGCTAAAGGATGGTCAATTTTGTTTATCTTTTCAAATAACCAGTCCTCAGTTTTGTTGATTCTTTCTATTGTTTTCTCTTCTCTTTGGATTTATTTCTGCTGTAATCTTTATTATTTTCTCCCTTTTTGCTTAATTTGGGCTTAGCTTTTTTTCCCCCTATTTCCTTAAGATGTAAAGTTAGGTTGTTCATTTGATAGCTTTCTTCTTTCTTAATATAGGTGTTTATGACTATAAATTTCTCTCATAGTAATGCTTTTGCTGCATCTCATAAGTTTTGGAATGGTGTGTTTCATTTTCATTTGTCTCAGGAATTTTTTTACTTTTGTTTTCTTCTTTGATCCATTGGTTGTTCAGGAGTGGGTTGTGTAATTTCCATATATCTGTGAATTTTTAAATTTTTTCCCACTATTTTTAGTTTCATAAAAGATACTTGATATGATTTCAGTAATCTTAAATTTGTTAAGACTTATTTTGTGACCTAACATGTGATCCATTCTTGAGAATGTTGCATGTGTGTTTGAGAAGAATGTATATTCTGCTGTTGTTGGATGGAATGTTCTGCATGTGCCTGTTTGGTCCATTTGGTCTATAATGTTAAAATAGCATAAAAGGAATAAAATATTTAGAAATAAACTTAAGCAAGGGGGTGGAAGAATTGTATACTAAAAACTATGAAATACTGATGAAAGAAATTAAAGCAAACACAAATAAATGGAAAGACACTCTGTATACATGGATTGGAAAAATTAATATTGTTAAAATGTTCATACTACCCAAAGTGGTCTACAGATTCAGGCCTCAATCCCTATCAAAATCCCAATAGCATTTTTTTTTTTTTTTTACCAAAATAGAACAAATAATTCCAAAATTCATATGGAACTACAAAAGATCCCTAATAGCCAAAGCAATCTTGAGAAAGACAAAGTTGGAGGCATCACACTTCCTGATTTCAAAATATACTACAAAGCTATAGTAATTGAAACAGTATGGTACTGGCATAAAGCCAGAGACAAAAACCAATGGAATAGAATAAACAGCCCAGAAATATGGCCATGAATATATAGTTAACTGATCTTTTTGATAAGGGTGTCAAGAACACACAATGGGGAAAGGATAGTCTCTTTAACAATTGGCATTGGGAAAACTATATATCCACATGCAAAAGAATAAAATTTGATCCTTGTTTTACACTATACACAAAAGTAAACTCAAAGTGGGTTATTAAACACTTAAATTGTAAAACTTCTTGAAGAAAACATAGAGGTAAAACTCCTTGACATTGTTTTTGGTAATGATTTCTTGGATTTGGCACCAAGAGCATAAGAAACAAAACAAAAATAGACAAATGGTACTATATTCTACTAAAACACTTTTGTATAGCAAAAGAAACAGAGTAAAGAGACAATTGACAGAATGGGAGAAAATACTTGCACACCATTTTATCTGATAAGGGACTAATATCCAACTTATGTAAGAATATCCTACAACTCAATAGCAACAACAAAAAAGGCGGGGGGCAATAGAATTTGAATAGATATTTCCACAAAGAAGACATACAAATAGCCACTGGATATATCAGAGTGTGCTCAGCATCTTTACTCATTAGGGAAATACAGATCAAAACCACAATGAGATACCACCTCACACCTGCTAGGATGATATTGTCAAAAAAACAAAAGATAAGTGTGGGTGAGGATGTGGAGAATTTGAACCCTTACACGCTGTTGGTGCAAATGTAGAATGGTGCGGCCACTATGGACAACAGTATGGTGATTCCACAAACAATTTAAAATAAGCCAAAAGTGGTGGCATTTGCCTGTAATCCAGCTATGTGAGAGACTGTGACAGGAGTATTGCTTGAGCTCAGGTAACATAGTGATACCTGGTTTCCAAAAAAAAAAAAAAATTAAAAATAGAACTACCATATGACCCAGTAATACCATTTCTGGGTATAGTGCTGTGATGATCTTGGAGAAATATCTGCACACCCATGTTGGTTGCAGCATTATACACAAGTCAAGATGTAGAAAAAAACTAAATGTCTATCAAAAGATGAAAAAAGAAAATATGATACTCATATTATATATGTGTGTATATACATGTATAGACACACAATGGAATATTATTCAACCTTAAAATAGAAGGAAGTCCTATCATTTGTGATAAGTCCTAACATGAATGAACCTTGAGGACATTATGCTAAGTGAAAGAAGCCAGTCACAGTAGGACATACATGAGGCATCCAAAACAGTCAGACTCATAAAAGTAGAGTAGAATGGTGGTTGCCATGGGCTGGGGGGAGGAGAAAATGGGCAAACATTACTCATTGGATATAAAGATTCATTGATACAAGATGAGTAAGTTCTGGAGGTGTGCTGTACAGCATAATGCTACCAATACAGTATCGTACACTTTGAAATATGTTAAGGGGATAAGTTTCATGTTAAGTGTTCTGACCTTAAGAAAAAAGCTCCAGGAAACCTGAGCTTGCTGTGAAGTATGTGTTGGCACGTATTCACATGTGCGCACAGACACACATACACATGGGTGAGATACATACCTGGAATGGTGTTAATGGAGCCCATCAACTGCTCAACATCAGAGAAGTCCAAGGTCTGGTCTTCAAAGTCTGGCTGTGCAGAGATTTCCACATCTGTTTTTGTTTTCAGAAACTTCCCTAGTCTGTTGGTATAAAAAGACATACTCACAAGAATGGAAAGATATTCCCTTTAGGGTGCATCTGTAGTACTGGATCACTAGTAATAAATCAAGAAGGCCTCAGTCCTGAACTTTCATGACTTCAGTTTAACATGATGCTGGCTGCCATCTACCATTGGCTTTGGAAACGGACAAAGAGGTCACCATTGGGGATGGGAGGGATTGATTTGTGCCTTTGAGGGAAATGAGGAAGGGTAAGGTCATGTCGGAAGGTGGGTGGAGGGACATCCGCTAACAAGATCCTTGTTTGTCGATGAGGAGAGTCCTAGACTGGTTGTACTTGACCAAGGTTATGGGGAGTAGCAGGGGTTGAACTCCTGTCTGACTCTAAAGTGGGCATGCTTTCTGCAGCCACACAGTCTGGATCGTGGCACGGCTGGAAGATGTTGGGGGTGCTCCCCAGATCTCGGTTTCTCCTGGTGAAATGAGGGGTTTGAGGAGGAGAGCTGACCACAAGCTTGCTGGGCCTCACCATACATCCTCCCTTCTGTCTCTGAAATTTTGAGATTCAATGTTAGAGGCTCCTAGTGACCCCACGCCATCATTCCGAAGTCAGTACTATTTTACTCTTAGGATCAGAACAAAGGCTGAAACTCAGTGTAGATAACCAAATGGAACTGAATCTACTTGGATATCTAGAGGTGAAAGAAACAGGAAAAGAAAATACGTGTCAGAACAAACATATTACCTGTCAGTCATAGCCACTGCATCCTAAAGAGAAAAGGAGAAAATATTAAATTGATTTTGGAAAGCAATTCCCTTTTCTGCATGTATAATAATATAAATATAACATAATAATATAAATATATTAGAAAACTTAGAAATTAGGAAAAGATTTTTTAAAAGCAGCCATATGCCGTATATCCCACACCCTAACAAAACCACCCCATGCTTGTATGCTCTCTTCCATATCACAGTACTGCTTTTTTCTATTAACATCACATCACTTTCCATGTTACAAATGGTCTTTTGGAACATCAATTTGAAAGTGTGTATACTAATTCATTATAAATAGTTAATGAATGGAAACTCCATCATGTACACAAATCCTTCCTCTATTGTTGGACATTTTGACTGTTTCCAATTTTTCACCATCATAAGTAATGGTAGGAAGACCACCTTCTCCACATTTTGAATACACTGGTATCACAGAACCTCTAGTTCAAGAAGTATGAGTATTGGTGGCATTCTTGGTGGCTGCCAAATTGCTCTTCGGCTTTATTCATGGGTCCTTCACCCCAAGCACAGCAGGAAGAAGATGCTGTGGGCTCTGAGGGGTGACTGTGGGCTTGGGCAATGGGGGGGGGCCCACACTTGGCAAGCAGAAAGTTCTGGAGACCGAAGGCTCTTCCTCTACATCCTGAACAACACATCTGTCTCTGATCCTTATGTGGTACCTTGAGAAGAAAGGGACCATGGCTCTGAGTGAGAGTGAAATTCCCACTGTCCAGCCACATGGGGGAGTTGATTTGATTTCAAGAAAACTAGGAAATGAGGTTTTTTTGGCATGTCTGAGTTTATGAAGTAAGATTTTCAATTGTTGTACTTGTAACTGGGAAATTTAATGTGCCTTTTCAGACTTAAGTTCCTCGCCAGATCTCGAAGAGGCCATCTAAGGTGACTAGAAAACTCTCAGGACACTGTTTTTGCTCAGCTCCAGGATGTGGGGACAGATCTCTGGCTAACCAGAACAGAGCAACAAAGACTGGTGCTACCGCAGCAATGGTAAACTGTGTACAAGACTGCTTGGCTGCTCATGTCAAAGCTAAGCAAAGAAATGGGGTGGCAACCTCCCCATTACAAACATCCAGTGGAATCAAATGGATGCTGAACATAAAAGTCAATACCAACGCCTCCAGGAAGAGAGAGGACAACCAACCTACCTCGACCATAACTGTCAGTTCAGTTCCTAATTCCATTTCTTTCCTTTACGTTCATTATTTCATTTCATTTCATTTCATTACTGACCTTTATGAAATCATCCTTCTCCTCATGACACATCTCTTCTATTGTTTCCATCAGCTCTTTACAGGTATCAAGGTTTTCTCCACAACTGACCAGTTGTCCATATAAGGTCTCCAGCTTCTCTTTCTTTTTCTCTCCCAGAGTTTGTATTTTTTCTTCATATTTTTGAGCAAGTGTTTCCAAGATCTCATTGTAACGTGACTCAAAGTTTTGTTCTTGTTTTCCAAAATTCTCCTGCAAGACAACTGACCTCAGTGATCATTTCAGTGCACGTAGTGTGTCGATTGGAGTCATTAGGGGCATGAAGGCATATCTATCTAGAGCAGTTTTAGTTCTTCTACTTTGTCTTATCATCTCTTGCCAGGATGTCAGGGGAGCTGGCAGACAGGAGTCTTCAGCCTAAGAACCCCACAAATAATCTAAACAAAAAGCACGACTTTCTCTCCAGCAGCATTTTGCAAGCCTCCTCTAGTTTCAGCTACCTCCTATCACCATGACAACTGACCTGGGAGATTATCAGTGATGAGTCAGCCTGCTACTGGACTTTAACATGGAACTATTTTCCCTGAGAGATTCCCACCTATTGTTCTTTCCTGAGCTCTCCACCTCTCAGGATGCTCATCTTCTCTCCATAGTGCTTGGATCATAGGAACACAAAGTTTATATCAACTAGGATCATATCAACCAGGGGAAAGATGAAGGCAAAGAGGAGCTAGGGTGTGGCCACGTGGCACTGTCTAATAGATGAGAAAATGTAGGAAAGCAGAGGGAGAGTTCTGACAATACTTTATCCAGAAGCACGATAGATGAGAATATTAAGTGGAGCATGTATTATTCATATTGCAAGCCCAGGAGAGCTCAGCAGGTTCTGATTGATGTCATTCTCATCAGATGATGGGGGGATTTCCAAACAAGAGCCTCTTATCAATCATTCAGGGATTACTGAACCCCTGCTATGTGCATAGGATTGCTCAGAATGGTGGAAGAGAGGGAAAAGCAATAGATGACTCCCCAGTGTTGAGGACGAAAGGATGGCCAACAGAGTCCTCATTGAGGATAAAGCTACTTTGGTCTGAAAGTAAGTTGGCAGAGCAGAGTGTAAAAAGTTTTGTTTGTGATGTTGTATATTCACCCCTCCTACCATCATCCTATGCTCAGCAGTGGAAGAGCTTGCCCCTCCTCTGTGTCTTCCACAGAAGATTAGTGCGATAGCTCTTCCTTGTAAGAGTAAGGGTGAAAAAGGTCTAGCTTCTTGGGAAATAGGCCCGGGGCTTAGTTAATTCATATGAGAGACTCCTGTTGATACAATCTGAGTTTGCCTCAACAGAATGAGAGCAGCCGCATGAAGAAAAGAGAGAGGGAAAATACTGAGGTTCTCAGTCCAGGTCTTCCTCATCTGGAAGGTTGGGTTGAGCTCTGGTGTCACAGTGGTATAGTATATACCTACTGAGGCACACACAAGGGAGTGTGACATGTTTGGTGACAGTCATGGGAATGTTTTAATATTATGAGAAACAGATAACAGCTGAAGAAAAAAGTATAGCAAAGACAGGATGGGTATCTTGTGTTGCCTTATCAAGCCTGGCCCATGAGAGGGAGAAACTGGTTATATTCTGTGTAGCTCTAGGGCCCAACATGACCAATGGGCAGAAGTTACAGAGAAGCAACTTCTATCTCAGTAGCCTTGGCCTCTGAATCAAGAGCTCACATTCTTCTTCATGTCATGGAGGGAGAGAGGTCATTAAATGATGAATAATCCCTCCCCACCCTGAAATTCTGAACTTTCACTGATCTCTCAGGAAAGTCTGGAAATTGCTAACTAGACAAACACAATACATAAACTTATTTTTAACCCATGCACAGCCAAAAGTGTACCTGCATTTGAGTAGCAATAACTGGTAGAAGTGGATATTTTGTCTCTTAAAACAACTAAAAACTGTTTGACACTCCACACTCAACTTTATGTAGTCAACGTAGTAGGTACCCCCAAACGCCTAAAATTAACAACTCCAAAAAACAAAGAAACAACATGGAACCTCACTGTGTCTGGTTATATAGCCAGTGCACCAGATAACACCCAAGGGATTCTCAGTGAGTAAGACAAAAAAAGAAAAAGAGGAAAGAGAACCAAAACAAATAAACAACGAAGGGCAAAGGAAAAGCTGTTCCCTTCTTCACCACCTGAGATCAAATGAGGGGCTTCACCAGATAATGCCACCATTAAGTCATCCTTGTTGGAACAATGGTCTAAATTATGTACAATTAGTGATTCAGGTAAAGAGAGATGAGAAGAGAAAGGAGCCAATGAAGAAGAAGGACGATGACTGGAGAACTTAAAGACTTGTTTATTAATGCAACAAAAATATAAAATGCCTGCTCTCGAAACAAACCATGCTCATGGATTGGGGATATAAAGACAGAGAATACCCAGCTTCTCCATCAGCAACTTATAGTTCAGTAGGGAGTGCTGACAGGTAATCAGTTCCACGAGGCATATGCCCAGGTGCTATGGGAGGTCAGAAGAAGGGGTAATGGCAGTGGGGGCAGTGTTGAACCCTCACATTCTAAGAAAACGGATTAATAGCTGCTTGACCTAGCCACTGATGGAAGCAACATGTGTCTGATGGGGTCATCAAGTGTGCTCTTACCTCCACTGTGATGAAAACCTCCTCCAAGTGATTTGCAAAGTTTTCCATTTCGATAATCTGCTTTTCCAATTTGTACATGTTTTTGTGAATTTCATCCTATCCAACGGAGGACCACAAATAGATTGTTAGCATTACCTTTCTCTTTTGTAGAAGCCATTTTAGATGTATGCCCTGCCTACATACTTGAGATACAAATACAATATCAAGACAAAGAAGAAACCAAGGACATATTTACCTTGGCACTCTCTAGTGCTTTACTGAGTGGGGTCACTTCATGCTCCTTGTGTTCATCAAAATCCTTCTCAAAAGTTCTTACTGGGGTTTTGCAGGTGACACAGAAGATGTCGGCAGCTTCTTCCTCATCCTCCTCCTCTGGAATGACATAGCATTCATATTCTTCACTGGCACGGCCATGTGCATACCTATAGGCTTCCCGCAGGTCCTGGCACTGGCCTGCTGAGCCCCACTCTCCAAAACCCAGGTCCTCAGCCTCCGCTGCTTCTCCACTAAGTCTCCAGTCACTTTGCCCCCTGGTTGGGTCTCTCCTCTTCATCACATAAGGAGGGTATTCCGGAACCCCCATTCTGGTCATGTTTTCATCAACAAACTCATCCCCTAAATCATTATCATCTTCAAGTCCATATAAGTGGGCAAGTTCGTCCACTTCCTCTTGAAGGTCTCTTTGAGCCTTAGCATCCCCTGCCCCTCTTGGCTCACTGGTCTTTTCAGCCTGGACTACTTCTCTCCTCATCCTAGTATTTTCTTCTGGAAAGATCTGCAGTCTGTCTTCAGAATCATAAAGATCCATGTGATAAAAGTGGAAATCCTTGGGAGCAGACCTGTCCAGCCCTGGTTCCTCCCCAGCTTCTTCCTCCATTGTAATTCGGGAAACCCTGAGAAGCACCTTTGTATAAGAAAGATCCTTCCTGGACAGTTAATAGAGAGTATCTCGGGTCCTGGAACACAAAAAGAGAGGGAAAAATCAGTTCCTGAGAAGGTTACTGCAGTAAATGGTCATTAGATTGGGCTCTACTTATTTACGATTTTAAGAAAAAACATCTGTGCAGCTCAGTTGTGGTTTTGCCTTGAATCACTTGTAAAGAAAGGTTTGTTTCTATGGAAGGATGGGGTTCCTATGCTTAAAAGAGACAGAGGAAATTACAAGAAATGTCAATAGATAGGACTAATGAAAGACTTCTGCACATTAAACAAACAAAAGGCAAAATAACGTGAAGAGTCTCGGGCAATTATTATTTTTTATTTTTATTTTTTTTTGAGTTGGAGTCTCACTCTGTTGCCCAGACTGAAGTGCAGTCGCCCTCCCGGCCACTGCAGCCTCGACCTGCTGGGCTCCGGCGATCTTTCCACCTCAGCCTTCCAAGTAGCCGGAATTACAGGCGTGTGCTACCAAGCCTGGCTGATTTTTTAATTTATTGTAGAGATGAGGTCTCGCTTCCTAGGCGGGTCTCGAACCCGCGGGCTCAGGCAATCCACTCACCTCAGCCTCCCAAAGGCGCAGGATTACAGGCTGAGCCACCGAGCCCGGCAATTATTTTTTTTAATCGTATAAATTGATTGAAAAGTAAGACCTCAATAGATGCATGCACATGGGAAATTCACAAAACAATTACATTTGCATAAATCACCTGCACAAAAACATTTGAAAACTATACTTATCTGTAACAGAGAACAAATAAAATTTACCATTTTGTCTTTCCAGTTAGCGAATATTTTAAAATATAAAAATTATTCCCCAGGCTGGACAAGGGTAGAGTGAACTCTCATATGCTGCTGCTTGACATGTGAACTTGCCCTTCCTTTCTGGAGAGCAAATTCAGCAACCTGGGCCAGGAGCCTTAAAACTGTTTATACCTCTGACTTGGTAATTCTATTCTGGAACCTTGAGGAAAAATCCCAAATGCAAGGCAAAAATTATTTTTATATAAAAATGTCCACCATAAAAAATTTCATAACTACACAAAATTTTTTAAAGATCTAGAGATTAGAAGAATGGTTAAGTAAACTACAGCATGAGCACAATACAGAACACAAAGCAGCCTTTAAAGTGTTTATGGAGAGCAAATGATTGCTTGGAAAAAGACTTACAATGTGATGTTAAGTAAAATAAACAATACTCATTCTATGTAGAATATGATATTCACTATTCTAATGAATGTGCATAAAATCTAGAAAGAAATATTAATAATAATAACAGCATTCGTAGATATAATATTAGTAGTAGTTACTACTTGTGGGAGACATCATGTGCCCTTTTTGTGCTAGGCAGTCTATATATAAGATATTATCATCACATCAACCCTATGTGGTAGGCATTGCTATTATCCTCATTTTATAGAAGAGAAAACTCTGTCTCAGAGAGAGTATCTTGTGCAAAGTCACATAGTAAATTGTTGAACTGGGGTTTGAGCCTTAATCAGTGTGGTGGCCCCAAGACTGTGCTTTGCAGATATCCAACTACGGGGAGAGTAATTGACCAGAGGTTTCAGTTGCACTCTGAAATCCATTGCTGTGTTGCATGGAGGACACACTTCCCATAAACATCTGCCATCCAGTGACAAAGTGTAGCAGGGATATTAAGGCAGATCCATTCTGGTTGACACAGAACTCCTCTGTAGTGTCAGCTACTCAGAGATCCATTGCTGGTTGACACAAAACTCTATAGTGCCAGTTATTCAGGAGACTGAGGCGGGAGGATCGCTTGAGCCCAGAAGTTTGAGATCAGCCTAGGCAACATAGCAAGATCCTCTCTCTGAACAAAACAAAACAAAACAAAAAACAAAACAACTCCGTTTTGGCCAGAGGACTCCTTGACAAATGACCAAACCTTTCTTAAAATGCCTGGCAGTCTAGGATGCCACATTCAACCTTTCTTCCTGCTCTCCTTCATTTGTGGTCAGACTTGTGTCATGGTCTCACAGCTCTACCAGCCTTTTCTACCTTCCTCCCCATTATATGTCACATGTGTGTTTCTCCTAATAAAATCCTTGTCCATTTAATCCCACTTTGTGCCTGCTTGTTAGAGAACTGGATTAAAACAGTCTGTTGGACTCCAAAGTCCTTACTTTCTTCCTGACATAGAATAGCCATTGTGTTATATTATTATATTTTTATGGCAATATAATTAACATACCATACACTTCACTTGTGAAGTGTATGGTTTTTAGTATATTCACACATACGTGTAGTGATCATCACAGTCAATTTTAGGACTTTTTTTTTTTTTTGAGTTGGTGTCTCACTCTGTCGCCCAGACTGGAGTGCAGTGGCGGCTCCCAGACACCACAGCCTCGACCTGCTGGGCTCCAGCGATCCTTCCGCCTCAGCCTTCCAAGTAGCTGGAACTACAGGTGCACACTACCACGCCCAGCTGATTTTTTAATTTATTGTAGAGATGAGGTCTTGCTGCCCAAGTGGGTCTCGAACCCGCAGGCTCAGGCAATTCACTCACCTCAGCCTCCTAGAACATTTTTATCACCTCAAAAAGAAAGCCTGTACCATATAGCTATCACTACTGGCACTCCTCCATTTCCACTTGCCCTAAGCAACTGTTAATCTACTTTCTGTCTCTATTGATTTTCCAGTTTGGACATTTCATATAAATAGAGTCATACAATGCATGATCTTTTGTGACTAGCTTCTTTCACAGAGCATGATGTTTTTAAGGTTCATCCATGCTGTAGCATGTATAAGTACTTCATTCCTTTTTAGGGCTGGACAATATTCCATTTTATGGATACATTATATTTTGTTCATTCATTTATTAGTTGATTTGGATGGCTCCCCATTTCTTTTGGGATGTTTCTATCTTTTCACTGTTTAAAATAATGCTGTTAAAAACCATTTGTGTGGATATAATTCCATTTCATTGTGGTCGGGGAACATATTTGTATTTTTTCCACCCTTTCAAATTTATTGTGATTTGCTTTATGGGCTAGCATATGGTCTATTCTAGAGAATGTTCCATAAGCACTTGAAAAGACGTGCATTTTGCTGTTGTGGGCAGAGTGATCTATAGACGTCTGTTAGGTTCAGTTGGTTTAGAGTATTATTGAAGTCTTCTATTTTCTTCTGCTTAGTTCTTCTGTCCATTATTGAAAATATGGAAACTCAAACTATTGTTTTTAGATTGTCTATATTTCCCTTCATTTATGCAATTGTCTATATCTCTCTTTATTTATGTCACCTTTTATTTCATATTTATTTTGGTGCTCTGTTGTTAGCTGCAAATATGTATATAATTATTACATATTTTTATAATTGCAAAATATTCCTCTTTATCTCTAGTAACTTTTTGTTTTAAAATCTCCGATGTCAGTATAGCCACTCTAGCTTTCTTGTGGTTGCTGTTTACATGATATATCTTTCTCTATCCTTTTGCTTTCAATCTATTTGTATCTCTGAGTCTAAAGTGTATATCCTATAGACAACATATAATTGGCTGCATTATTATTAATTTTTCTTATCTATTCATTATGAGAAACTTCCTAGGAATTTCTAAATTACAACACTTTGTTGGAGTAGCTTAAGTTATTATGTCTTTTTCCATGTAACGAAATAGCATTTCCTATGAAATAATATAACACACTGACAAAGAAAAGTCCTCCTCAGAACCTGGTATGAATATCTAATTCGCAGGATAGTAAAATAGAGCTTAGGAAAGAATATTGTCATCTTTATGTCTACTGAGGACTAAAGATGTAACGTCAGAGAAAGACAGTTTACTATAAAGAAGGATTAAACTATGATAAGAGAGTAACTATAAAGAAAGAACACTAGGCTGGGTGTGGTAACTCACACCTATAATCCCAGCACTTTGGGAGGCCGAGGCAGGAGGATTGCTTGAGCCCAGGTGCTCATGACCCGCCTGGGCAACATGGCAAGAACTTATTGCTAAAAAAAAAAAAAAAAAAAAAATAGCCAGGTATGATGGCCTACACCTGTAGTCCCAGCTACTTGGGAGGCTGAGGCAAAGGAATCATCTGAGCCCAGTTGGTTGAGGCTGCAGTGAGCCACTACACCTCAGCCTGGGCAACAGAGTAAGACTCCAACTTGAAAGAGAGAGAGGGAGAGAGAGAGAGGTGGTGGGGGCGGGGGAGGGAGGAAAAGAAAGAAAGAGGACACTAAAGGATACTCTAAGACTGAAGGAAAGGACTGAATTTTCCTGGTCAGAGCGGGTCCACAGTTGCTATGCAAGCAAGAAAAATACATAGAGACACAGGTGAACCAAGGAAAGCTGGTTGGCAGGTGAGCAGAGGGAGTTGGAAGCATTGTGCAAGTGTCAAGTGCATTAGGAGGACTAAGGGAAAGTGGTCACCAAGCCTCATGAGGGATGCTGAGTCAGAATCATCTATATGAGTTGTTTTCAGATTCTTGACCTCCAGAAACCATGCAAGATAATACATATTTGTTGTTTTAAGCTGCCAAGTTTTGGGATAATTTGTTATGTAACAATAGATTACTAACACCTTGTCCCAGCCTAAAAATAACCTTTCCACCTGAATTTTTTCTCTTGCTACAATTTATTCTGTCTTCCTTCTCTTTTTACATTCAGGCTCCTATAAAGAGTGCCATTTACACCACCGTTCTCAACTACAGCATATGAACCTGAAGACTTTCCAAGGGGTACACAAGCATGGATAGTTTTAGGAGTATCCACTTCCAGGTGGTCAACTTCATATTTAATCTTTCCCAGAGTTGCTCTGACTGGGAAGGAGTCAGCATTTGGGACTTTGTGCAGATTCTTTTCTCTTCTTCTCTGTATTGCAAGACTATACCTCTCACTTGTCCTGAATATTACTTTGCACTGTGAGATTTCATTTCTTGGGAATTTAAAAAACCTCCAGGGGACTAAATAAAAGGACTAAAGAATTTCTACCAAATGGTGAGAGAGTGAATGACATTAATGAATAGGTAAGAAAAAAAAATTTTTTTTTTG